CCTACCCCCCTTCTGGCAATAAAAATGTTGCCATTTGGCACAGAACATTAAAACATTAACATTAGGATAGGCTTAGAACTCTAAATCTATTAAATTCACATTCACTTAAACTGGTTGAAACGATTTTCAATCTTTCTATCAAATAGCTCATTTAGAAAAATCTCAGCTTCGTCTTCTCTTCTTTTTACTCTTCACTGCTTGGTGGCTGTGATGGGAATGGGGGCACTCACGGTCAAGTGCGTTCCTGGGATAGTGATCAAGTCACTATGATTAACTGGCCTTGCTGGAATGCCTCATCTTGGCAGCAGCTAGACCTGTGGTTGCAAAGCCTAGGCCGAGCTGTGGGACTGGACTGCTTCAGAGCAAGTGCGCTGCATCTGTGCAGCCTCACGGCAGCCTCATCACACAGACGGCTGAGAAGGGTCACGGAGTTTCTGACGACGGCAGCCAAGTCTCAGGGTAGAGGAAAATCTGACCCACACCGTGAAGTGGAATGAGCCTGGACACAGAGCCAGCCTGCGCTCGCTATGGTACGACTGGTTGGCCGGCACAGAGTTAGGATGTGTCAGGCTGAGGGTTCGGATGCTTCTGCAGATGACTCGGAGCCAGGGAGAAGACGGCAATTGATAAGAAAGAAACACAACGGTGCTGAGACAAGGGCATCCCCACGTACCGGCATGGAGAAGGAAGCGAAAAACAAATTTTCTGAGAACTCGACAACAATTCTAGTGTTGTAGGCACTCTCTTTTTGGTTTTTCAGTGTTACTAAAAATGTTAACCTTTTGTTTTGATTGCTGACAATAAAGGTTTTTTCTCTGGAAAAAGAAAAAAAGGGAAAAAAGGCCATTAAAGTTAAAAAAAAAAGGCAGTATTCGACAACTTCTCTCATTCTAAATGTACACTCTCCAGATTTATTTGGAATGCTCAGAGAACTGTTTAAGACTAAGCTCCCTTCATATTTAAATGAAACTGACAATAAAGAATAAACACTACTGGATTTATTCTTCGTGTTTCTAATTAAGTTACAGAGAAAGGAGCTATTCAAACATAAATAATTTTATATTTGTAATTGCTTTCTTTTGATTTGAATGGTAGACATTGAAATTTTGTGGTCAAAGACCATTACTAGGTATGAATACTTATTTTCTTGCGGAAGAAAATCTCCATAAACATCTATATCAGCAAACTACTGTGCCTTCTTTCTGCGCTATACTTTGGGCTCGAAGGTCAGACTTACTGAGTAGCTGATGGCTGTTGCACAGCTAGAACGAGGTCGGAGATGCAAAGCCCATCGTCCCCACAGTCCTTATAGAAGGGGAGCTAGGAAACAAGGGAAACGTACATGTGTTTGCTTGTGGGTTAACAAAACCGTTTCAGATGAATGTGGAGAGTATTGCTATTTTTACATAAAGATCAAAACTACAAAACTATGGAAAGCGGAATAGTATCTGAGGACTATACACTGGTTCAACAACAGCATTAAGAACTGCAAGATGCAAGACAACGATTTGTCTAGGGAGAGTCAGATGACGGTGACTATGACAGGGAGAGGAGGGGTTCAGAGAGCTTCACACGGACTGGCAATGCTTTATTTTGTAAGTGGGCGGTGAGCACAAAGTATTTGATTTGTTGGTCCCCATGTCTTCAACAAATATCTATGGAACACCTACAGTGGGCCAGGCTCTGCTCTAGAGGTGGAAAACAGTAAACAAGGAAGATGCAAACCCTTGCCTCTGCGGCACTTACACACTAAGGATCTTTATAAGTATATAATTGTATTCGTATTTTATTTAGGAAATTGAGAATTTGAAGACTATATCCTAAGTATCTATAAAACACCACTGTGGCTACTATGAAACTTTGTGAGGCAGTTAAACCTGGGAAGGGCAAGCTACACTTACACTGAAGACCTTGGCAGCCTCAGAATAGGCTTCCAGGGCAGGGCTCGTGCCAGGCTTCTCCAGACTGATATCCACACGCAGATCCAAAGGGTTGACAACATCAGAAGGCTCCTAGACACACACACACATGCACATACACGTACATACAGAGTTGGTTTATTAGGGCATGGCAGCTTTAAAACAAAAAATTTTGTTTATAATGATGAACAGGCAGTTCTCTATTATACAGAATATCCTTATTTATATCTTTTTTTTTTTTAAATTATCGGAGAGGTTTTGTACTCACCAGAAAAACAGAGAGAGACAGACAGAAAGGGAGAAGTCACCCCCCAGGGGGGATGGCCACGCCACAATCCCTTCTCTTCCATTCTCCTCTCAGAATCTTGGGCACGCATGTACACGTGCCTGGTGTGAGTTTAAACTGCTGGGTCCAGGGCTCAAACCACAGGTGGCTACATGAGAGTCCTGCGACATAGCCATTACACCGAACTGCTGATCCCCCTTGTTTATATCTTAATTCTGCTTTCAGCCTCACTGCTACTAAGAAACTTAAGGAAACTTGGGTCCAGTAAAAATTTGAAGCAGTGATTCTCGGTTAAGTTCACCAGTAAGATCAGTAAATACGAGGAATTGTACGTATTTAGGTGACATGTCTAGTGTTATTGCTCCAATGACTCCTGTGTCAATGCCTAGCTCTTGAGCTATTGGCTATGTCCAGATTTCTGTTGCCAAGACTTTGGAGTCCTTAGGTACTCTGAACCAATCATTGGAAGGGTATATTATGACCTAGAAGGGAAGGCACCCAGGGCTGGCTACAGGTAGTGGAAAAGATGGTTCTTCTTTAGTCAGAATCGGACTCTGATCTACAAAACCAGATAAAGGTGATTCCCACTTCTTCAATCAAGCTCCCCAACTTCTTCTGCATAGAAGATGATGTGTGTCTACTCCACAGTCACTAAAGACAACCCTCCTGAACTACAAGAACAGCTTCTCCACACTGCTTAGTATAGAGGGTGGAGGGCTTGCAGCACTTCAGAGGCATGGGCTGCTTCCAGCTTGTGAGGATTCTTGTCTAATAGAAAATGTAAAAAAGCCAAAGAGAAGTTGCCAAAGTCACCTAGAAATCTTCTCAAACTCTCCACAATCTCTGTCAATGGGAATGACAAACTAGATTCTAATTTGCTTTTTCCTGAGAAGCAGGATTTTCTTGATTATTCAGTTCATTCATAGGCAGGAATTCTAAATTTCAAGCCCCACTAGGGAGTCTATCAGTTAGGACAGTTTCCTCAGCGCCTGTAGGCATGGAACGTAGGATGGAGTTTAACTCAGCACTGACTTAAAACAGGACTTTTTTTGTCTTTCTTTTTCTTTCTCTCCTTTTTTTTTTCTTCTTTAGAAAGACAGCCTGATTGCCTTTATACCCTCATAATGAATTACATGTGTAATTTGATCCACTGCTTAACACAGGACTGGAGAGAATGGAAACCAGCTTTTTTCTTTTAAAAACTGGCACTTTAACAGAAACGAAAGTCCATGCTGGGCCAGGAGATAGCGTGGACATCAAGGCAGCTGGGTCCCATGTGGCTGACGGTGTATAAGTCCTGGGCCCAGCAGTCTGAGAAACATCCCAGGAAGTTGTGTGAACATGCTCAAAATCCCTAGAGGAGAGGGGGCAGCAGATGACATAATGGTTATGTAGCTGGACTCCCATGTAGTTAACTACAATTCAAGTCCCAGACCCAGGGCTTGAGACTCATCCCAGGCACATGTGTGTGCGTGCCCAAGATCCCGAGACGAGAATGGAGGAGAAGGGATTGCAGTGTGGCCATCCCCTTGGGGGTGATTTCTCACTTTCTGCCTCTCTGTCTCTGCCTGACTCTCTGGGGAGCACATGCACCCTACAGCAAAACTCTCTCAAAATCCCTAGAGGGAATGGAGGAGAAGGGATTACAGAGTAGCTACCTCCCCTACCCCTCAGGGGATAGTGATTTCTTTCTTTCTCTCTCTCTCTATCTATCTATCTTTGGCAAATGCACATGACCTATAGCAAAAATTAAAAAAAAAAAAAAAATTCCATGCCTTCATTAATAAAAATCTTTCAAACTGAAGTATAATTTTACAACTGATTACTGACTATGGTTTTTGATCCCTTACAGTTAATGTATTGAAGTTTGACTTCTATACCATCTATCTACATTAGAGACATCTGAGTTGCCCCTTAAACCTCATTTTCTTTGAACTTCCAAATCTATGTAGTTGATGGTGAGGACCTAGAATACTCATCTTATAAAAGTTTCCTTGGTGGACCAGCAGATGACCTAATGGCTACATCGCTGGACTCCCATGTAGGACTCCCACGTAGTCGATCACGGTTTGAGTCCCAGACCCGGTGGCTTAATGTCATGCCAGGCGCATGTGCATGGGTGCCCAAGATCCCAAAAGGAGAATGGAGGAGAAAGGATTGTGGTATGGCTATCCCCTCTTGGGAGTTATGGTAATTGTTTTGCACCTTAAACCCTAGTACCATATTCTAGGAAAGTACTTAAATGAGCTCTTTTTACAAATTTCTGAGTAAATCACACTTACAAATACTATGATTTCTAAGGGAAAATATTCACCTACTTTATAAAACAAATTTCTTGTTGGAAGTTTTATCCTGAAAAGCATTTTCTCTACTTGCGAGATTTTCAAAATTCATGTGAACTATGGTAACTATGATATAAAATTGGGATAAATACATTTTATCTCATAAGTCACTATATGTTACCTATGTTAACTTAAATCTAATAGCAGAAACAACTGGAGTTCACCAGTACAAAAAAAGTCAAACTAAAATTTATTGCCAACTGAAGTTCTCTGAAACACTTAAGAAAGTACCATATCTTTCATTTCTTTAACAATCTTATTTTTAGTCCTTTCAGATCCCGTCTCAAATAAAATTTAAGGTACTAACATACATTAACACTAGAATGTGACCAACAGTATTAGCATAAAGGAAATATGCTTCCCTTTCATGGAGTTAGACAAGAAAGGCATGAATTAGAATCACAAGCATTTTCTCATAGTCTTCCCTTTTAGACTTTCATCACTCGTTAGTCTTTAAGGAGAAATGAAGTAAAATAGGATGATGCTAAGTCCTCACCTGTATGTGAATAATGTGATCAGTGCACCGCTGGGTTTGAGTCACTACTGTAGTCTTTTTCATGTACCTTTCATTATTTTCTTTAAATAGCCCCCTGGAGGTTACCCTGGATGAAAATCCATCTGCATCAAGTGTGATGTTATACACAATGGCTATGATAAAAATCACAAAGAAATGTTATTACAAATGAACTCATAAGGATAAAGCATCCTTGCTAAACTATATTTTATTGGACAAAGTCTCTGATTTCAAAGAAATATGGAAATGGTCCATAATACGCAAGAGGATTATGAGCTGTGGGTAGCACTACATGACATTTGTAATTCTAGCTCTGGTATGATGTAGGTTATGGCAGATACACAGAGATGAGAGAAAGATGGCTTGGAGCAGTAGAAGGAAAATTGAACTTGCCACTGGGGAACCTGCTAGATGAGTTCAAAAAATCACTCACTCCCTCAAGCATTGTATTCATCATCCACAACATGGAGATATGCAAAGGAAAATAACAGCTATGGGCCTATAATAAAACACATTGTCTTATGTTATCTTACACAAGTTTTACAATAAACCTGGAAAGTACATAGTCTTCTCCCATTTTAAAAATAATGAACTAAAATAAAAGACAAAAAAATATTGGGGCCAGCAGTTGGCACAGTGGTTGGGGTACTAGATTCCCACATGGCTAACCATGTTCGAGTCCTGGACCTGGTGGCTTGTTTTCTCATTTTCTCTCTCTCTCTCTCTCTCTGCAAGCACACGTGCCCTACAGTAATTTTAAAATAATAATAATAATAATAATAAATAAAACTTTAAAAAATCTTTTAAAAGTAAGTGCAATAATTCTCCTAAATTCATACCAAGACATGGTCAGAAATGAAATTTGGGAAATTTTTAAATAAGAGCCTATGTTCTTTTTGTATCCAAGCAGGTGTAAGGAATAACCGAGATACTCTAGGGAATCATGTACAGTGACTGGCATATTCTAGACACTTAGATAGGGAAAGGTATGCACCATTGTAGCAATAAGGTTTTAATTAGATAGACTTGGTGTAAATATTAGTTGCACAGCTTAAAAGTGCCATGACTTGGGACAATTCACTTAACCTCTTTGAACTTCTATTTCCTCATCTATAAAATAGATTTAATAATACCAATCCAGGGAAGAGAAAATTTTTTAAAAATCTGATAAAATTTGATGTCGATAGCTATTGTTCAAATTATCGGAACTTTCAACCATAGACTACTGACAACATGGACAATATCAATTTTGTCCAAAATTGAGAGATTACATTGTGTACTATTGATAACATCAAGTACCTTATTTGAGGATATTGTCTCTTATTTTATTACTGGCAATATTTTCAAGGTTGAATATATTCCTAGAATCATTTATTCTACATGTTACTTTAAAAATATTGATTAGTGATACACAAATTTTCTTACTACAATGATTTAATGAGGTCAACAAAGATAAATAAAATATCAAAGAATCAAGTGAACTAAAAATGAGTGGTGAAATGATGCAAAGGAAAGTAACGGGGGAGAGGTGACTATAGTTAGAATAAAGTTAATGATACTAATTTTCCATTTCTTTTTAAGCAGAATGGTAAAAATAACATGAAGTTTCAGAGTCAGTATTGTAACTTTTTATGTTATTAACCTTAAACTGGAGAGTGCACTTGATGCAATAAATAATAAAAACCATATGCTTTGTAAATCTAATTTTCACAGTTGTGAAGATCAGATTCATGTCTTACATAATTGCCAAACAATGAAGTGACAAATGATCCTGACTGGCCTGTCAGAGAGGCTCTGAAGCCATCAGGGGAAAGCATTTAAAGGGAAAGATGCCCATAATTAAAAAGCCCAGAGACCCTCCAGAGCCAGTCAATGGGAAGGAAATTCTCTGGAAGTAGAATTTTTGAGTGTGTGGAAGGAGTGAAGTACAGTAAAAAAATGGAAGATACATGAGACATACTCCTGCTTCAGGGCCAGCCATTTCTGCCAACTAATATATTTTCCAAATTAATCTTTTAGACAGACTAGACACTGAATATTTTTGTAGCAGTGCTTTTTGACTTCACTTTCATGGCTATGCAGACGGTTGTGCTATAAGTCAGGTTAGTGAGAAATGTTATTCAAAGTTAGGTCAGTGTTTGGACATCCTTAAGGAAAACATCCACATATATATAAACATAGAAAAACATAGAATTGTGTGAAGATGTGACTCTAACTGCTGCTTTATGTTCTTAACTTATTTATGGTATGACTCTGGGCAAATAACCTGTCTATGTATTTTCAGTCTTTAAGTGAGTTTATTTGTTCATCACTAAATTAAGTATCTGTAGGAACTATAAGTTCTGGAGCTTATATCCCAACTCTGATGGGTAGAGGATTAGGACCCATAAAACAGCAGTAAATGGGAGGAAAAAAGAAGTAGCTTTGAATCAAGTGTAAACTGTATGGAAGTATTAAGCGTTCTGAGATCATTGGGACAGGAGAGACGAAATGAGATAGAATGGCTATAAAAGGCTTCCGAGAGAATCTGGGACCTCTATCAGGTCTTGAGAGATGACCTTGGATAGCCCAAAAGAAAGGGGGCTGCAATTCCTGCTAACACATGCATCACACTTAGTGTTTTCTTTACTTCTCCCTGTCTGATGAAACGGAGTTTACACTTTTACTCATTTCTGTGTATTGTTTAGAAAATTTAAAACATAGCCACAAATTATATATTGCTTTAACTTTTTCGTGCTTATTGATTTCTCAAGTATAAGAATAATACTCAATAGTTTTTATTTTTTAGGGATTTTTCACTATAGGGAGCATGTGCTCGCCAGAGAAACAGAGAAAGACAGAGAGACAGAAAGTGAGAAATCATCCTTCAGGGGAAATGGCCACACTGCAAACCCTTCTCCTCCATTTTCCTCTTGAGATTTTTGGGCACATACACACATACACCCAGTGTGTTTTAAGCCACTGGATCCAGGACTCAAACTATGGTCAACTGCATGGAAATCTAGTGATGTAACCATTATGCTATCTGCTGGTCCCTCTACTTGCTTGATATATATATATACACACATACATATACATATATATATATACACATATATACATACACACACACACACACATACACACACACACACACACATATATATATATATATATATTTTAACACATGTTATCTATTGGGTTGTCAGAAACTCATGATGTATTTTCTATGGGAAAATGTATCATGACTTTTTTGATGACCCAAGATCATGGCAGAGCTAACATATGGTGAACTCATTTAAAACTGGAGGTCCAGTGTCATCTGTGTGTGCCCAAAGTTTGAAGTAAGGAAACTGTGGGTAAAAGAAACCCGAAGACAACATCGATAGAGCTCATGGTTACATTACAGAGATTGCAACTTTCTGCAGAAATACGGCACCTTCTAGAAAATAAGGAAGGGATATAAACAAACCTTCCACGACAAACTAATCTTCTACAGACCAAAAGATAGGTTTGCTCATAGAGTTTTAGTCCTGAATATAAACTGTCTCTGTACAGATTATGTCAGGTCTACGCACCCACTTGATTGCTTTGCTTAATAGGTCTAAACTTTGCACTGAAGCAGAGTTGGAGGATTATCTGAGCATTCTTGTTGAACAAAGTGATTTTTTCTGGTGTGAATGACGCTTCCACAGCTACGTCAGCAATACTCTGTGACCTAAAAGACAGAGAGATGGACATTATTACTACCTGCAAGTGCTATAACCTCTGCATAGAGGACCCAGTTCCAGCGTCATTGGATTTCTTTCTCCACTCTCTGAGCACTTTGGCAGTATTTTCTATTAGAAAGCTCTACGATGGCAGGCATGGATAATGTCTTTTTCATTTGTGACTACATCCCTAGCACAATTTGCATTTAATATTTGTTATTAAATGAACACACGCATGAACACAGGATGGGAGTCTGCAGCTTCTTTGCAAGTGAAGTGAAAACCCATGGCCTTTGTTGTGTTTTGTCAACTAGAAGCAGTGCTATTCACTCCTCTCACAAAGGTAGAAGAGAGAGAAGGTGGGAAGGTGGGGCAAGTAGGGCTGATGAGTATGCTTCTGACTGCTTCCCTGCTGCTTCCGTGGTTGGCAATGATCCTCTGAAGTATGGCATAGGACCATGTGGGTGGCAACTAGCCTGATGTTAGAAAAGGGCTGAGGAGTCCATCTCAGAAAGGCTGCTACAGATTTCTGACCCTGGCTCAGACTTTTAGGTATCTGATTCAGGGCCTCATGTGCTCCCTATGACACTCTCATGAAGTAGATAGAACAAATATTATCTCCATTTTATTAATGAAAAAGGCTGAGACATAAAGATGTTTGGTGACTTACCAGCCTACTGAGAAATAATCACCCATGAGATCAGAACCCACGGTCTCCTAACTCCTTTGCCAGTGGAATTGTTACATCATTCTAATGATCCCTGTGTGTACCCTCAACTATTTGCCAAGTAGCAAGTAGTAATTAGTAATTGCACTGTTTTGAAAAGCACTAAAAGACAACACAGAAGACATTCTCTTAATTTCAGTTTCCACCCTAAGGATTCTAGTCAATTGAAAAATTATTTCAATAGTTAATCATGTATCTATTGAATCTCCTAAATAGTAGTCATAAAGCATCTCATTATAAATGCAACATGCTCTCGCACTTATAAGATCTAAAATGGCTATGTGAATGTTTTAAGGCAATCTCTTGGAGAAACTCAGCATTTATTCCAATAAGGATGTCATTGACTTAAATATTTTGTAAACTTGCCTTTAAAAGATTATTCTCAATTATTTGCCCAGAAAAACCACTCTTAATACCTAATATGAATTCGATTACAAAATAGCATTATCCTACTTCAACTGGTTACCTCAGTGCACTGATTTGATTCCACATCTTAACTTTTTTGGTAATCAAATCCACCTTCAAAGAGAAAAGTTTGGCAACCACTGAGTATATTAAAAAGGAGTATCATACTATGGTAAGTTAATAGCCTATCAAGTATGAAGCCTACCAAGGTGATGTTCTCTGAGAGTTATTATTTCTAATAAACTGTTCAAGAATCAGCCATATAACAGTATCACACCTTGTATTTACTTTGTGTGCTACTCTTAAATGAGGTTAATCAGTTTCATTCACTAAATATACTTACTAATTTCCAGCCTAAAATATTGAGTTTTACTTTCTTCACATAAAGGCTCATTGTATAATAAAAGAATGCATTTCATTATTTAAAAGCATAAGTGAGGTTTTTTGTTTTGTTTTTTTTTTTAGAGGTTTTTGCTATAGGGCGCGTGTGCTCACGAGACAGACAGAGACAGAGAAAGAGACAGAGAGACAGAAAGCAAGAAATCACCCCCCAGGGGGGATGGCCACGCTGCAATCCCTTCTCCTCCATTCTCCTCTCAGGATCTTGGGCACGCACGCACACACACGCACACGTGTCTGGTGTGAGTTTTAAGCCACTGGATCCAGGACACAAACTGCGGTTGACTACGTAGGAGTCCAGTGACATAGCCATTACACTAACTGTTGGTCCCTTAAAGCATAAATGAGGTTTTTAAACAGTGTTATTAAACTCAGAAACCACAAAACATGAATGAATAGTGTTTTTCTGTTTTGATATATTTAGACGTTTAAAGTACTGTTTTTTTCTTTATATTTTTGCCACAGGGCATGTGTGCTTGCCAGAGAGAGACAGAGAGGGGGAAAGTGAGAAATCACTCCCAAGGGGGATGGCCACACCACAATCCCTTCACCTCCTGGGATTTTGAGCATGCATGCACTTGCCCAGTGTAATTTTCAGGCTCCATTGGATCCCAAGGACTTGAACTGTGGTCAGTCATGTGGGATTCCAAGTGCCTCAACCAGCATGCCACCTGCTGGCCCTAGAGCACATTTTAAACATATTTCTTTCTGATTCAATTCCCTTGCCACCTCAGATACTTATTTTTGACCTTGAGTGATATGGCATTTGAATCTCTTTTAAAATGTTCTTTAAAGTGTATTCATTTATTTGTTTGATGAGCGAGAGAGACAGGGTTGGGCACACCCAGCGGCATCCTTATGCTGAGATTCACCCCTGCCACAACCAGCCTAGATGGTGGGCACATTTGTGCACATGCCCCGTGTGCTCAGGGAAGAGCCTAGATATGAAGCCAGAGCCTTTCTCAGGTGGATCCAGTTATGTTACCAAGGTTACACCACCTGTATCCTAAATCCCTTTTTGTTCCCCACAATGTTCAACTCCTGTGGAGGGCAAGGAGAGGTTAGTTAGGCCTAAACAATGGATTCTTCTTTATGACTAATAATGAACATATACCTTTTAGTCACATAATAGGTACACTTTACTTGAATGGTCTGAATGTTCAGTATTTTCAGTGAACTCTCCTGAGTCTTCCTTTCTGTCAGCTGAGTTAAGGCTGTTTATCGGAAGCCAATGTTCAGAAATATCCTGGATATTGTTTCCAGATTTTTGTCTTTTCTATGCACTGTTCCTTTTCCCCATAAAGAAAAGAAAAACTTGATTCTAATGTTAGGTAAATATATATTTTTCCCCACCAGGAAAAGCATATTCTTATTTTTAATACAAACTATGATACATAAGTTCCCTTTAGTCTTATATAAGGATGTGGCCTTTCTACCCTACCAGCACTGCTATTTGCTCTACTTGTTTGCAGGTCATTTGTAGGGGACAAGTTTGTGGCTGGCTCTGACCAACTCACCAGAGCTGGACCACTTGTCCGAAGGCACCAATGGACACGTCGGTGATGGAATCCCCATTTAAATCTCCATAGCCATCCAAGGATCTCCCGAAGTACTGGAGGTGACTCTTAAAGGCTCCATTGGATCCCAAGATTTTCTAAAACAGCAAGTTTGACATGGAATTATAGTACACAACAGCTGAACGTGAAAAATGGCAACCCTCACATTGTAGTATCACATTCTTTCTGTAGTCATTTTCCAGGTTGTCTTTATCTCACCACAAAATTCCACCAGTTTTTCAATCACATCTTATCTGTTCTGTCACTCTTATAGTCACATTTTCATCAAGGAAATAGCATGAAATTTTAATATAAAAACAAAGACCAGCCCAAAACAGTGAAAAGATCAGTGAACAATGGATCAACTGATACAAATTCAGGTCCTAATTCTTTTTTCTTTTCTTTTCTTTTTCTTTTTTTTCTTTTTTTTTTTTTTTTAATTTGATTAGAGATGGACAGAGAAAGAGAGAGAGAAAGTAAGAAAGCAAGCTGCCAGGTCCGGGACCTGAACCACAGTCAACCAAGTGGGAATCCAATGCCTTAACCACCATGTCACCTACTGGCCCCAACAGGTCCTGATTCTTATCCTACATCTTATTCGAAAGTTGCCTACTAAGTGAGGCCTCCTTAGTCAACTTTTCAACCACCTGATATTTCCCATTCCTAACATTTTATTTTCTATTTTTCTCTATTTAAAACATATTCTTTGTATTTATGAATATCTAAAACATTTTCTTTTTATTTATTTTTCATTTTATTCTTTTTTCATTATTTCTCTTCCCTCAGAGGTAAGGCTCACAAGGAGTCAAATTTAATCTGTCCTATTACAACAACATCCCCAGAGTCTAGAACAGGGCTTGGCACATAGTAGATGCTCACTACTTGTTGAGTAAATGAAGTTGTAAACAAGAGGGATAGATTGGATGGTCTACATGATACCCTCTAGCTTTAACATGATGATGTTCATATGTAAATACATGCTGCTCATGTATTACCTGAGAATACTTGGTGCGAATTGTGCCCTGGTGACCGTTGTAAATGTACACAGCTCCAGAGTTCTGATTTTCTAATGGCGAGCCAACAATCACATCATTAAAGCCATCCATGTTGATGTCTGAAAGTGCTGCAATTGCTGAGCCAAACCTAGCATTTTCAATGCCCTCAGGGCCCTCGAGAAATTGGTGCTGATTCAAAACACCCTGCAGAAGGGAGAAAAAAAGGATGATCAAAGCAAACTTCACAACTTATATCACTAAAATTCATAGAAAGTGATGATCAAGTCAACTTTTAAAATATTAAAAGTGAACAGGACTGGGAACAGAAGGTGGCATAATGGTTATATCACTGGACTCCCATGTAGTTGACCACAGTTCAAGTCCCAGACCTGGTGGCTTAAACTCATGCTGGTTGCATGTGTGTGCATGCCCAAAATCCCAAGAGGAGAAAGGAGGAAAAGGGATTGAGGTGTGGCCATCCCCCCATGGTGGGATTTCTTGTTTTCTGTCTCTCCATCTCTCTCTCTCTCTCCAGTGAGCACACATACCCTACAGCAAAAATCTCTCTGGGAAAAAAAAGAAAGGAAAAAAAAGTGAAGAGAGAGTCAGCAGATGGGATAGTGGCTAAGGCAGCTGGATCACACATGGCTGACTATGGGATGTGAGTCTTGGACCTTGTGACTTAAAAAACAAACCAGAGATGTGTGTATGCATGCCCACAATCTCTGAAAGGAAGGTTGGATGAAAGACGAGGGATTGCAGTGTGACCATTCCCCATGGAAGGATGTTTCTCATTTTTCCTATCTCTCTTTCTGTCTTCCCCTGAGTATACACAACCTCTGACATCATCAGAATGGATGAAATAGATATCATGTTATCTATGTAAATTGTCATTTAACAATACTTTTTTGAAAGTGCAGATTCATTTTTATAAGTCAGTACTAAACCAAATTGAACTGTCAGTTTCATATTTTTTTTTACCTTTATGATAGTAAACAAGTAGACTCTTCCTTCCTCTTTCTTTAGGTCATTCATGTACATTGGTGCGCCCACCAAGAGCACATCGGTAATGGTGTCTTTATCCACATCAACCGAACACAGCACACTACCAAAGTAGGATCCAATCTGGAGCAACAAAGCACAGTAACTTTAGCATTCCTAGGATTCGAGTACCTCTGATATCATACTGAACTTCTTTTTACTCATTATCATACTGAACTTCTTTTTACTCATTCAACCAACCAAAATTGGAGGTTTATTAAATGCAAGGTGTGAGGCTAGAGTACAAAGCGGTGCTTAATGCCTGCCACACAAAAATGGCGCAGTTTTATTCCTCAAGGTGTATCACCATCTAATATTTGGCCCCTAAACCTTAGTGTGCATAAGAAACATCAAGAAAGTGTCTTTAAAATACAGGTTTCTGAGACCTGTTGCTAGATATTCTGATGCCATGTCTAGAATGGGATCTAGAAAACAGCATTTGAAATAAGCATTCAGGTGTTTCTGATGCTAGCGGGCTAAAGACCACGCTTGACTGAGAAACCCTTAGTAAGTATGTGAAATATGTTGTAGAGAAAGGAAGGAGGAAGAGAAGTAGGAGGGACAGATAATTGTGCTTCCATGGTAAAATATATCGTAGTAGAGGCAAGACTCAAACGCTGAGAGATCAGAGTGAAGGAAAGTCGTGAAGGCTTAGAACGACAGAGTATTATTTGAATTGCATCTTAAAGAGGACAAGGTGTTTTCTAAGTGGATGGAGGTGAGGAAGCATGCATAACGTAGTGTCCATGGCATGATCCGAGACAGGTGAGTAGTTGCTAGGTGGAGGGGGATGGGGGGACTAGGTGGAGGTAAAATAAAACAAGAGAGAGTGGAAATTTGAGGATGTTTCTCATTTTTCCTATCTCTCTTTCTGTCTTCCCCTGAGTATACACAACCTCTGACATCATCAGAATGGATGAAATAGATATCATGTTATCTATGTAAATTGTCATTTAACAATACTTTTTTGAAAGTGCAGATTCATTTTTATAAGTCAGTACTAAACCAAATTGAACTGTCAGTTTCATATTTTTTTTTACCTTTATGATAGTAAACAAGTAGACTCTTCCTTCCTCTTTCTTTAGGTCATTCATGTACATTGGTGCGCCCACCAAGAGCACATCGGTAATGGTGTCTTTATCCACATCAACCGAACACAGCACACTACCAAAGTAGGATCCAATCTGGAGCAACAAAGCACAGTAACTTTAGCATTCCTAGGATTCGAGTACCTCTGATATCATACTGAACTTCTTTTTACTCATTATCATACTGAACTTCTTTTTACTCATTCAACCAACCAAAATTGGAGGTTTATTAAATGCAAGGTGTGAGGCTAGAGTACAAAGCGGTGCTTAATGCCTGCCACACAAAAATGGCGCAGTTTTATTCCTCAAGGTGTATCACCATCTAATATTTGGCCCCTAAACCTTAGTGTGCATAAGAAACATCAAGAAAGTGTCTTTAAAATACAGGTTTCTGAGACCTGTTGCTAGATATTCTGATGCCATGTCTAGAATGGGATCTAGAAAACAGCATTTGAAATAAGCATTCAGGTGTTTCTGATGCTAGCGGGCTAAAGACCACGCTTGACTGAGAAACCCTTAGTAAGTATGTGAAATATGTTGTAGAGAAAGGAAGGAGGAAGAGAAGTAGGAGGGACAGATAATTGTGCTTCCATGGTAAAATATATCGTAGTAGAGGCAAGACTCAAACGCTGAGAGATCAGAGTGAAGGAAAGTCGTGAAGGCTTAGAACGACAGAGTATTATTTGAATTGCATCTTAAAGAGGACAAGGTGTTTTCTAAGTGGATGGAGGTGAGGAAGCATGCATAACGTAGTGTCCATGGCATGATCCGAGACAGGTGAGTAGTTGCTAGGTGGAGGGGGATGGGGGGACTAGGTGGAGGTAAAATAAAACAAGAGAGAGTGGAAATTTGAACCCTCACCCCATTTGACCATGTTCAGTACATGCCTATGTGAATACTTCTTAAGGATTTAGAAATGAATAAGGAATCACTCCTCCCATACGCTGTCATTATTTTTTTTTCAAAACAGATATATTTCTCTGTAGAGTATTAAAGAAGAGAGAAAAGTATGTGACTATAGCCAGTTTGTGATAAAAAAAGATAAAGAACTCAGGTCTTTTTAATTCTAGAAAAATCCATAACATCAATGGGATTAGTCTTAATCCCAGAGAAGAGAAATCTGTGGTTCCTTTCTTTATCTCAAGGAAGGAGCTCACTTTCGATTGGTTGCCAGTGATCAGGGATGCTCATCTCCGATACGTGTGAAGCACATGAGTCAAGACCAGTTAACAAGGAAATAGAAACCAATCAGCTGCCTTTGCTTTAATGGCAGGCCATAACTGAGTGTAGTCAGCAGGTCTGACTTCCAAACTGCCCACGTCACTAGAAAGTGGCAGAGAAGAGAGCCAGCAGGACACCCTGTTAGGCCCAGATGTACTAATTCAGCCCCTACCTGACACTGCTCCCTTTGCATTTCTCCAGAGCCTTGGCTTCTAGTGTGGGCTAGACTTCAAGGCAGTGCTTACAAGTGCCTGCCACCATGACTAAGAAATGCCCAGCATTATTAATCTGGGGAGTCAAAACTATGAAGAGGAATGTAACCAAAAAGCACCGACTTTGAGAGCAGACAGGATTGGGTTTTCATAACAGTTTAATCCATGAAAGATATGTGCCCCTAGAAAGCTGGCTAAACTTAGTAACTTGTCAATGGGGGGGGGGTGGCAGCAGATCTTAATATAGTTGTGAAGATGTAAGGAATTTGCAAGTAAACTCAGATTACAGAGCCAATCGCAGAATAGGCTCATAAAGCTTCCATTTCTACCCACCCAACTCCCTACCTGCCCCAGTTGTCCGTAAAATTCCTTTCACTGGCTAAACAATGGTATTTACCTGGTCACCTCTGTGAGCCTGAATAACTGTGACATTGCCATTCTTGTTAACACTGTATAGCACTATCTGGCCTGTATAATTTGCCCGAGGAGCACCAGCAACAAAGTAGACATTTTTTCCAGTAGTAATTGCAGCCACAGAGTAACCTAAGAGAGAAGGAGTTACAGAGTGATTATCACTGAATATCTAAGCCAGGGAAGGCTTACACTTAACAGAGATGGTCAGAGGCTCTTTTTTTGTTATGGTGAGGCTTGGTTCCTAGTGCTTCTCAGTAAATCACTGAAGGCCCATCTTCCTTTTTATGAGATGAATTGCTGTCCTTTGCCCAGCAGCACTGCCCTGAGCAAGTGGGACCTCTACCTGTCCAGCTGACCCTAGCCACCTGTGCACTTGGCAGTCAACAAATATCTCTTGAATGAATGAATAAATGAATTTAAAAGGTAATACCATACAGTGAAAAGAACACAGGCCTTGGATTAATTCCAGGGTCAAATACTAGATTTGCCACTTGCTAGGTCATTTCTTTTAAGGCAAATTCTTAATCTCACTGGCTCTCAAAGAACTGTTGGAAGGATTTAAACAATTTTGCACTGTAATAGCCAGCTTAAGAAGGTACTTTCAACCAGTGTCCTTTTATTATAAAAACAAAATACCTCAGGATTCTAAAATACTACAAGTCTGCCTATTAGCATACTGGCTTTTAGAAAGGGTTGGTATTTTGGAGAAAGGAAGTCATGTTCCAGGAATTACAACTGCTTGAATAGCCAGAAGAGATTGGTATTTCATTAAGTAGTTATGTTATATATTTTTGCATAGAAATATACGTCATGACTTTCTCAATGACATAGCAGTATTTTATGTATGTTACATAGAATTATCTATAGTTTATATCTGACATACAGCGTTTCATTAAGTAGTTAGGATTAAGGCCTGATTGTCAAAGATGCAACCATATATATGTATAATACAGTAAGTATGAAAATTAGATGACAGTTCCAAGGTTTCGCTAAATTGACCCTGAGATGCAAAAAGAATCTGATTTAAAGAAAGGGAAATCAACTTTTCAGAGCCAAATGTGATGCCTTACCTAAGTATGAACTGTGATTTTTATCTTGCAGAATTTGGTCAAAGGCTTGTTTAGGAAAGATCCAGTGATTGTGAGGTGTCTGCTGGACAACCGTTCCACTCCAGCCAAATGCTCCCACTGCACCCAGCATCAGAATATCCTAAAATGATTTTAAAATGAAGATCAATAAGAGAAATCATCATTAAAGCACAAGAACGCAGGACAGGCAGAACGCTGGAAGAAATCATCTGTATTTAAGAAAAATACTAAGCATGATGAAGTAAAATATATATGAATGTAATGAATGCATGCTGAAATATCTCAGAATCATTGCTGGAGAGCAGGATTTCCCATGGGCTATATTATCGTGGGCTTTATTCAATATGAAATGCCCTATGGATAAATCTTTGGAATAAGCTATAGTACAGAATGGGTATGTAGCCATCTTTAAATTTCCACCCAAAAGTGTACATTTGCAAATTCCGAACACATTTGAGCCTTTAGAAAGGAGTTGGAAGTGAGCCTCCAGCCCTAATGTTCATTTGCAGCTGGGTCTGAGACATGCTTAAGACACAGAAAGTACTAAAGCCAAACAGAGGTGAGACAAGAATGCTGCTGCTATTCCAGGCACATGTTGAGAGACCTTCTTCTGACTTATTTTCAATGTTTTTCCCTCTCTTTTCTTGAATCCTTATCAAATGTTCCTCTGGCACCTATATCTCATTCCTTCAGTCTGAAAATAGCACAGCTACAAAAGGCACCTGCAGCTGTGACATGAAATCCACTGAAAGGCAAATAAACTTTGACCAGTGCTGGGAGGCACAGAAGGTAAATGGTGACAGACTCCCAATCTGAATATTGAAGGCTCTAAGTCACTGCAGAAGTTGGGTTTGGTTGGGATGGGATATATTATTTTTAAGTTTTCAATCTTAGACCTTAGAAAACATTAAAGATGTGGAATCAGCAGATAGCATAATGTTTAGATCACTGGACTCCCACATAGTCAACCCCAGTTCAAGTCCTGGACCTGATGACTGGAAACTCACACCTGGCATGTGTGTGTGCATGTCCAAAATCCCAAGAGGAGAATGGAGGAAAAGGGACTGTGGCATGGTCATCCCCCCAGGGGGTGATTTTTCACTTTCTGTCTCTGTCTCTCCAACAAGCGCACAAGCTCTATGGCAAAAAATCTCTCTTAAAAAAATAAAAATTGAAGATGTAATTTGGATATAAAACAGAAGCCATTGGGGCCAGCAGGTGGCATACTGGGTAAGATGCTGGACTACCACAGGGTCAACAGCAGTTTGAGTCCCAGACCAGGCAGCTTGAAAATTACACTGGATACATGTGGATACATGCCCAAAATCCAGGAGGAGAATGGAGGAGAAGGTACTGCAGTGTGGCAATCCCTCTGGGGGGTGATTTTTCACTTTCCCTCTCACTGTCTCTGTCTCTCTTGCAAGCTCATATGCCCTATGGCAAAAACCAACACAAGCCATTATGAATTAACAAACGGCTAAATGATATGTTCCATATTGAGGATAAGAGATCATGAAGTTATAAGAACGACTGTATCAGAGACTCTGAAACTAGGGTGTATGAATGGGCCTCAATGCATGTTAAAAAAAAATGTCAGGGAACTATGTGCAAAATTTTCCATGCATGGATTAATTTACATGTTTTTCTGAAAGCAGGATTCATAATTTTTATAAGCATCTCTAAGGATTGGTGATCCAGAAAAGGTTAGCATCTTTTACTTTAGAGAGAAAATGAGCTATTCTTAGTCCTTTGATCTCTGAGTTTACATTGCTCCCTAAATATTTCCCAGGGCCTCACATCCCCTTGCCTTTCACTACCCTATTCACCACGTTCAGAGTAGAATTAGAATCAGAGGGCCAGGAAGCTGGTGTCTCTGAGGAAGGAGAATGGACTTGACTGAGCTGACAGTGTTGTACTCCAATCCCATTTCACAATTTTTCCAATTCTGTACTTCTTTAATTATTCTTTTTCTTGGCTCATGGAAAGAGATACCATGCAACTCAGAATTCAACGACGACAGTAATGACAAAGTCTGTGTTTTTAACGAATGTTTCTAGTACTTAATTGATCTAAAGGGAGTCTCTGCGGGGATAATGCCTCAGATTAATCTAGTGTTGCGCCCTGGAACACTCGAAGGCTTTCCCACATACTCCCCTTTTTTTTCCCCTGATACAAAATACCTGTTATAGGAAGCGAAGGCATTATTAACCTTCAGCTTTATAGATGTCAGAGCAGCAGCACAAAGAAACTCAATGACTGTAGCTAGGAGTCAAACTGTGGTCATTACAAGGCTAATTTTCCTACTTTATTTGTAAGGCTACACTTTCTAGAAGTGTTACGCCAAATGATAGCATGACTGGAGGCTCGAAGCTCCAGTCTGGCATACACACATTTTGAGGGGAGTAGTCTGCGCTGAATCCAACTTGTGACATTTCCATCTGGAAGTTGTCTCCTCCTTGCACAGTACCTGGGAAACAGCAGTTTCAAAAATAACATCACTGTCAGCAATTTTAAATCAAGTTTTTAAACACTGGGACACACATGTACACACATATCATGTTCTGGTGTTCACCAAAAAATGTACAGCTAGCAGATTGCAGAAAGGAGAATTCATTAAGAAGGTGCTCAGGCAGATTATAGGAATCCATAATTTCACAATTTTTCCAAGGTAGTGCTCAAATTTGGCATTAATCTTAATAAATCATCAGTGTATTTACTGTAATTCTTACGAAGTTCCTAATATTAAAGAACACTCAACAAATGATATGAGGTAAGGGAAGACTGAAGTCATTTGAAAAATTGATCATTACTATCCAAGGAGCTAAGAGAATTTTTAGATTTTTAACATTGGCACTATCGAATGCACAAATGTCTCAGATGCAGTTGGAGAAGCTAGGCAAATAGTGTGTAGTGAAGTCTGTGTTGAGGGATATTTGGGTTAGACATGAAAAACCAGAATTCAAGATTAAGTAGGAATTTTACCTATTGGTCTTAGAGTGATAAGACTCAGTACTCATTTTCCATATACTATGGTCAAAATGGTTACACTTCACTAATCTACACACAAAAAAAGCTAAAGTCCTGGACTGACTTTTTAAAATTGAGAAGACAGGGGCCAGCAAGTGGCAAGATGGTTAAGATGCTGGACTCCCACATGGCTGACTGCAATTCAAGTCCTGGACCTGGCAGCTTGCTCTTCCACTTTCTCACTTTCTCTCTCTAGTGAGCAGGTATGCCCTGCAGCATATTAAAAATAAAATAACAATATATAAAATTTTTTAAATTGAGAAGACAAGCTATCTCATGTCATAGTTTTACATAGAAGATGTAATAATTTACATAGGCTGGGACCAGCAGGTGGTATAATGGTTATGTCAATGGACTCACACATGGTCAACTAGAGTTCAAGTCCTGGACCCGGTGGCTTGAAACTCATGCAAGGAATGTGTGCTTGTATGCCCAGAGTCCTAAGAAGAGAATGGAGAAGGAATTGTGGTGTGGTCATCCCCCCTGGGGGATGATTTCTCGCTTCCTGTATCTGTCTCTCTGGTGAGCACAGATGCCCTGTAGCAAAAATCTCTTAAAAAATTTTTACAAAGGCTAAGTAGAGATAAGTTACAAAAATAATAGAACAGTGCTCCTTAAATCTCTGTAATAGCAAGTAATGCACAAAACTATTCCTAGTAAGTTTTTAGACCACATTTTATTAATAATTGTTCTTATTCATGCAAAATAAATTAATTATCATAGATTGTCTGATAGTTTTGTATTATCACAAAGAACATTAGATTTCAATGACAATTTAAACAATCTACTAGCACCATGGGGTGTTTAAGAGGTAATAACATTTTGGGGATAGAACTTTCCAGAGGATAATCAAGAGATCAAGATTTGACTATAAGAATGAATACTTCATTTATGCGATTCCCTTAACTCCAACTTCTAAGGCAGAATTTTATACTTAGGGGCTTAATAAAATACTATTTTGTTTGTTATTACAGATAGTTATTTGAATTAATCATCAGGAACCAGGATTTGGGTCATGCAAGACTGTTTACCATCTGTAAAGTGTGTTCTCATCTTTCATACAGTGAATTCCTGAACATATGCTGTTTCCCCACTGATTAGACCTTTCAAGCCTACATAAGCAAACTATTCTGGGTCTAATAAATAAAATGCTTCTTCCAAAATTGAACTATTAAAAATCTTCACTGTAGTTTTTTAATTTTAAAAATATACAGGCTGGTGGTAAACAAATTCAAGAATTTCAGATATCATATAATAGTACAAAGGTAAGATTATTTATGATTATAATTGGTATCATTAAATTGCACTCTTTAAAAGTTATAATAATTTGTGGACCAGCAGTTAGCATAATGGTTATGTCACTGGACTTCCATGTAGTTGACCATGGTTTGAGTCCTGGACTGGTAGCTTAAACTCACACCGGGCACATGTGCGTGTGTGCCAAAGATCCCGAAAGGAGAATGGAGGAGAAGGGATTACAGGGTGGCCGTCCTCGCTGGGGGGTGATTTCTCGCTTTCTGTTTCTCTCTCTCTTTCTGTCTTCCTGGCAAGTGTACATGCCCTATAGCAAAAATCTCTCAAAAAAAAAAGTTATAATAATTTGTAATCTTATCAAGAGTGTATATGAGCATCTTTGTTCCTCCATAATCTCTCCAAAAGTAAACACCGATCTGTGCTATTTTTTAGGCAAAGGATGATATTGGTTTAACATATTTTTCAAATGATTACTGAAATTAGACATTTTTTTCTTATGTTTACAGAACACTTATATTTTATAAACTACTTTTTCATATTTCTCCTGATTTATAGGACTTCTCATATAAAGTATACAAATTTACATTAATAGAGACAGTGTGTGCTAATAAAATTAAAATTCTTGGAAAAAGGGTTTTGAAAGAAAATTCCTGAAAAGAGTTCTTTTACCTTCAATGCTGAAAATTTGTTCTCCTAGCGTCCCAGCCTTTTCTAATAGAGCTGCTTCATCAGACACATTGAAAAAGTATCTTTCTGTTGGAATACTGGCAATTGCTTTGATCTCCTTTATTAAATTTTTAGTATCAAGGGCATTTCTGTTTAAGTAACCAAGAACCTTGAAAATAGAGGAAGAGGAAGAAAAGGTCATGACAGCTGTATTCCAAGCCCTGATTAGCATCTTTCAGGCTATTTCTGAACTCTATAGATCCTCTGGGGAAGGAGGTCAGTCAACCTTTCCATAGCTCTTCACTTAGTAGGCAGTATTGAAAATTAGCAGAAAACAGAATAAAATCTTCCCTTCATATTAAACTATGAACAGTTGATGGTAAAGTGCAGCCTTAAGAAGTAATACTGGGACCAGCAGATGGCATAATGGTTACGTCACTGGACTCCCATGCAGTCGACTTCAGTTTGAGTCCTGGACACAGTGCCTTAAAATTCACTCTGGGCGTGTGTGCGTGCATGTCCAAGATCCTGAGAGGAGAATGGAGGAGAAGGGATTGTGGCATGGCCATCTCCCCTTGGGGGAGATTACTTGCTTTCTGTCTCTCTGGTGAGCACACATGCCCTATAGCAAAAATCTCTCTTAAAAAAAAAATTAATACTGTAGGGATAAGCAGATGGCACAGTGGTTGAGGTGCTGGACTACCACATGGACAACTGGGTTTGAGTCCCAGACCTGATGGCTTGAAACTCACTCTGGTGCATGTACACGTGTGCCCCAAATCCCAGCAGGACAATGGACGAGAAGGGATTGTGGCATGGCCATCACCCTTGGGGGAATTTCTCACTTTCTCTCTCAGTGAGCACACTTGCCTTTATGGCAAAAACCTTAAAAAAAAAAAATCATAAAATGAAGAAAGGTATTCTATAAAGGAACATTTACCCATATAGTGCAAGACAATGAAAAAGAAAACCACTTACTGCAATGCCAAACCTCAGGATATTGTCATTGTTGCACTGATCAATCACAGCTTTCAGTCTTGAGCCGTCGTGTGATTCACCATCGGTGACAACTACCATTACTTTGGTAGCACTTGGTCGTCCACCAGAAGCTGGTGAATAAGCGAAATCTCTGTGGCAGATAAAATTTAAGACTCACTACCAAAAGACAATACCTTGGCCTCTGAGTTTAAATAGAAATATGAAATTAGCTTCTTTCAGCACAAACTATTGTGACTTAGAATTTCTCTACATATCATTTCTGGTGACATAAATATGTCCTCTTTGTTGTTTGTAAGGAAATATATACATAAAAATAAATCTTGCTTTACATTAAAAATAAAATTTCATGGGTTCCATGGCATTTATCCCAGGATTTATTAAAATGATCTTTTTGTAACAAATTAAATATATTAACATTGATCAACAAAAATATTCTTGTCATAAATTGTATTCATTGGACCTAATCAACCCCCAAAGGGATGTAGTCACACCACACTCCTTTCTTCTCCATTTTTCTATCCATTCCATCAGGATTTTGGGCATGCATGCACATGCACCTGGCATGTTTTTAGCCATGAGGGTCAAGATTAAAACTGTGGTTGGTCATGTGGGATCTGGCCCCCTTAACTGTTGAACTATGGTATCAGCCCAATATTTAATTAATTTATTTATTTTTAAGTTATAGATACACATGATCGAAACACCTGAAATAATTTGGAAAGGTATAAAACAAAAATTTTACAACAAGCCTCTGCTCTAAAAGTAACCATGGTTTACAGTCTCTTTATAGAAAATGTTTTATTTATATGTGCTATAGGTACAAGACTTCAAAAAGTTTATGAAAAATAATGTAATTAAGATATGAATTTATTTTGGTGCAAAAATGAAGTCTATAAATAATTTTTTATAGTATGCATTTTTCATGAACTTTTTGAAGCCTATGCATTTATAAATAGTACACTCCTTATATTTTCACATAAATGAGGGCATATACTATATAGCTGTTTTTCACTTTGATAGAGATCTTTTTATATCAGTGCATATATAGTCCCTATTCTTTTTATGTCTTAATTTTTTTGAGAGAGATTTTTGCTATAGGGAGCATGCACGCAACCAGAGAGAGAGAGACAGAGACAGAAAGCGAGAAATCACCCCCCCAGGGGGATGGCCACACTACAATCCCTTCCTTCTCCTCTTGGGATTCTGGGCGAGCATGCGCAGTGTGAGTTCAAGCACCTAGGTCTGGGATTTGAATCGCAGTCCATCACTTGAGAGTCCAGCGATGTAACTGCTATGCCATCTGCTGGTTCCCCCATTCTTTTTAAAATAGCATAATAATATTTCATTGTTTAGAAGAACTGTAGTTTATTTACTAGTCCCTTATTATTGGGTCTTTAGCCCACTTTAAATTTTACAAGTAAGGAATGTCCATGTACATATCTTGGTATCCTTTGGCAAGATATCCTGGAAAAATCTTAGCAAACTACTGGAATGAAGGATACACACATTTCAACTTTCAGTAATGTCAGATTGCCCTTTAAAAATTTCTACCAATTTATATCATTACCAGTGTACAAGAAGGCAAGTTTCTCCACCTCCTTTCCTGGCCATGAGGATCAGTTAGGTTTTTAATTTTTAGACCATTCTAGCAAGTGAAAAATAATACAAAATTGTTGTTTTAATATTAAAATTTTATTATAAAGGAATGATGAGCATTCTTATTTACAGCCATTTGTATTTCTCTACAAACTCTTGATTTTTCTTTATCTATTCTATAGTTTTGTTCATTTTTTGTTGCATTATTCATCATTTTATTAATGATTAGTAAGAATCTCTGTTAACAAAGAATATTATTCCCTACCAGATATATTGCAAATATTTTCCTCACTTCATTAATCCTCTTACAACTTAACTTTAGGATTTTTTGTTTTAATTATGCAAGTTTTCTCATATTCCTTTAATAGTCTTATTTTCTCAGATTTAAATATTAGGTCTAGCTGAAATCTATTTTGATATAAGGAATGAGGCAGGGATTCAGTTTCATTTCATTTTTAGATATTCTTCCAGTGATTCAGCGACTTATTTTCTGTCTCTTGGACTTTCCAGTTGCACATTCTTTTGGGTAATGTCACCCATTCTTTGGCTCAATTACCACCTGTGTGATGGTGGTAGTTCAATATCTATATCTGTTTTTTATTCATCTCTTCAATCTTCAATTTATGTATTCAATACTTGCTGAATATTTTTACTTGAATGTGTAAGGAGCACTTCAATATGTGTAAAGTGAGCATATCATTTATTAAACTCCTTTTTATTTTCAGTATTATAGAAGATAGAAATGTATAAAAAATGGCCCATATTTTTTCAGCCAGACACATTTGAATTACAAAACTATCCCTTATTTTTCAGCCAGACACATTTGAATTACAAAACTCACATCAAATCCTTTTCGAGTAATATGCTCTTTTTTTTAAAAAATAGGATTTTGCTATAGAGTGTGTGGACTCACCAGAGAGACAGACAGAGATGGTGAGAAGGAAAGTGAGAATCACTCCCCATGGGGATGGGTACACTGCAATCTCTCCTCTTCCATTTTCCTTCTAAGATTTTGGGCACCCACACACATGTACCCAGCGTGATTTTCAAGCTGTAAGGTCCAGGACTTGAACCATGATTGGCCATGTGGGAGTCCAGCTCTTTAACCACCATGTGACCTGCTGGTCCCATAACATACTCTTTATGACATACTAAATGTGGGGCCTTCAAAATGCTCATGAAAAATGCATATTATACTTTGTAAAGCTCAAACAGTTTTTGGGGCCAGACACTATGCTTCATTTGTTTTTAATTATCTTCAATGCTCAGAACACTGAATTACAATCATTGCCATTCAATGAAGTTAGACTCATAAAAAAACATTGTATTATTTACTGAAAAAAGCATAAGAACTCTAACGTTTTAAAGAAAGAGACAAAAAATAAAAAAAGAAAGAAAGGAAGGAAGAGAAAGAAAATAGAAGTAAATTACCTTCTAGGAAGGGTGGGCTATAGGGTGATTCTCCTAGCAGTGGGAAGGCTAAATCCTGTTAGCTTGGGGACTCAGTGTACATAGGGGAGAAAATAAAAGTTTTGGAAAGATGACAGAAGCAGACAAATCCCATTTCAACAGACAGTGGTCATTATTCTGGAGAAAAAGACTGCCGATCCCCTAGACTCCTTCTAGAAAAAAATGTCATACCTATATTATCTGCTGAAAATGAGGGCCCTCATCAGCTTTTTTCTTTTTTTTTTTTTGTCCCAATCATTATTTATTTATTTTAGAGAGATTTTTGTATTAGGGCACGTTGCTTACTGGAGAGACAGACAGACAGAGTAGGAAATCACCCCCAGGGGAGATGGCCACACTGCAAATCCTTTTTCATACATTCTCCTTTTGAGATTTTGGGCACATACATACAATGCACGACTTGAGTTTCAAGTTACCAGGTCCAAGACTCAAACTGCAGTCAACTACATGGAGTACACCAACATAACCATCACACCATCTGCTAGTCCCTTAAGCTTATTTTTAAAAAATAATTATTTATTCAATTGCATTTATTGTTACTCTGGGGAAGAGAGAGAGAAAGTGAGAAAGCAAACTGTCAGGTCAGGGACTTGAACCATGGCTGGCATGTGGGATCCAGTTCCTTAACCACTATACCACTTGCTGGCTCCCCTTCAGCAGCTTCTAACTCTAGGGAAGCCATTTTCTATTTCAACTTATTTTTTTCCCTTAGTACAGTTCACTGGACTAGCAAAGGCATTTCACCTATGCACAGCTGACCTGTTGACTGACTAGCAGCTTATAAAGATGGCCTTTTGAGAAAGGCCATCTCAACAGGGACAGTAAAGATTAAATAGCTCAGTGACCCAGGATAAATAGGGAAAAAAAAAATATTCAAAGTCTCCTTCTTAATATTTCTGTCGATTATTTAGTCTCCTTTGGAATAAAGACAAACATACGATCAAACCTAAAGCCAAAATATATTAATTTCTGCAAATTAGAATTATATTGATGTGTTATCTTGTTTCTTATGTTTTCTTTCACTTTGATAACCTTTTTTTTTTAAGAAGTTTTTGCTATAGGGCACATGCACTCGCCAGAAAGAGAGAGACAGAGAGAAAGAAAGTGAGAAATCCCCCCCGCCCCAAGAGGGATGGCCATGGCACAATCCCCTCTCCTCCATTCTCATCTTGGGATCTTGGGCATGCATGCACACATGCTGGCATGAGTTCAAGCCACTGGGTCTAGGATTTGAACTGCAGTCAACTACATGGGAGCCCAGCGACATAGCTATTATGCCAACTGCTGGTCCCCACTTTGATAATCTTTTTTTTTGTTTTTTTATTGAGAGATTTTCACTGTAGGGCGCGTGCGCTCGCCAGACAGACAGAGAGAGACATAGAGACAGAAAGCGAGAAATCACCCCCCAGGGGGGATGGAATTGCCCCAGGAGGGATGGCCATGGCACAATCCCCTCTCCTCCATTCTCATCTTGGGATCTTGGGCATGCATGCACACATGCTGGCATGAGTTCAAGCCACTGGGTCTGGGATTTGAACTGCGGTCAACTACATGGGAGTCCAGCGACATAGCTATTATGCCAACTGCTGGTCCCCACTTTGATAATCTTAAAGACATTCTTCCAAATCATGTATTAATATATTCAATTTCATATTCTACTCTGAAAAAATATGCCAAATATTTAATTAAATCCAAAACTAATCTAAGTGAATTTTAAAACTGTACTCATTTGAAGACAATAAAAGGATAATAAATGCACTTCCTTATGACCCAATCTGTATTAATAATGTCTAGTCAAAAATAAATCTTAAAGACACTCTTCCAAATCATGTATTAATATATTCAATTTCATATTCTACTCTGAAAAAATATGCCAAATATTTAATTAAATCCAAAACTAATCTAAGTGAATTTTAAAACTGTACTCATTTGAAGACAATAAAAGGATAATAAATGCACTTCCTTATGACCCAATCTGTATTAATAATGTCTAGTCAAAAATAAACAGAAAAGTTAATTTTTGCATTTATTTCATATAATCTTCTATATTCAAGTTATATCAAGTGTTATTTTAAAAATGATATTTGTATTTGTAATTGTCACTTGTTACCCATTTCTTTTTAAAATTTTTTATTTCTTAATTTCGATTTCAATTATACATTCAATCACATGTTACTTAGCTTACAAAGTGAATATTCCAACATGTGTACATTTCTCACCAGTCCAGTTGACAATACTATAAAGTTATCTTCAATGGATAACAATCCATTTCTCTGTCTCATAAATGCCTTGCCTCTCTATTTTTCCCCTTAAAACTCCTTCCTCAAACTCAACTCCCATACCTTTATCTCATGATAATTATATTAATATTTATGGTGCACAAATTTCCATAAAGAATAATTTACACGGAAGGGTTAAAATGAGGGGAAAAAAGATTAAGCAAGCCAATCATATCTTCTTTTATGAGAATCTGCTTTTGAGTCACATATGGAAAGTTACCACTTGAAAAAAACAACTGAAAAATATATGTAGAAAGAAAAGGGACAGATACAATAGGAAAAGCAGAAACAGATAGGTGATCATAGGATATGGTGACCATCCAGTTGTATGATCTAGGGAACAGTAGAAAGAATGAAGAGAATCATCAAGTTTTTGTCTGAACGCCTGGGAGAACAGGCAGGGTCGTGAACAGTGACAGGGAAAAGAGTAAGGCCTGCTAAGGACATGCTGAATTTGGTAACTGAGCCAACACTCCCAATAAAGATACTCCGCATAATCTGGAAGCCTGTGTGAATTGAGGAGAGAGTTCAGGGCTGACAACCTAGCTATGGGGTAACTCACGAGGAGGTGCTACTGGTGCCATGAGAATGGATACAATTCCTAGGAGAAAGGCTAGAAAGGAGAGTGCTCTGTTTAGTGTGTGTGTGTGTGTGTGTGTGTGTGTGTGTAAATATATATATATT